TTTAGGCAGTAGGTGTGTTTAGAGTCAATTGATTCTCAGGGGAAGAAAAATCAGAGATTCCTTACACTTGGTAAAATTATGTTCTGTTTACTGGGGTCTTTTCTTGCCCTTCTTTCTTATCAATACAACTGATTTACATGATAAAAAATAAACATAAAAATCAAGATTGATCTATCGCAGGAAATCAAGTATGTGCTGCCACTAATCAAACCTTGTTTAAATTGCTTTTGCTTTGTGTATGGGATGATATCTGTTCTTGATGTCTTATAAAGTGGCCATGAAAGGACTTTTAGTTGGGTCAAAGACCCTACACTAGTTTAAAAAAAAAAAAAAAAAAAAAAAAAGTCTTGATTCTTGTTGTGGTGTACTGAAATGAGTCTGGAAAAAGTTTAACAGTATGTGATCCAGTTTATTGAAAGAACTATTTTCTAGGAGTTGTGAAGTACTTTTTGACTATTTTCAGAAGAGGGCTAAAGTTTATGAGAATTTAGACTACATGTTGAATAAGTAACAGTTGTGAAGTACTTTACCATGTCGATTACCAACAGTTCCTAGCTCATCTGTTTTACATTTTATCAACTCTCTGGTCCTTGTGATCGGAGTAGTGATTTTCTACTTTCTAATGCATAATGACGTATTTTGAACTTTCAGCTTTTGGCAGAGTCTCTTCGCCCTTTATCGAAGGAGAAAGATAAATTACTTGGCTACCATAATGACTTAAAAGTTAAACTTAATCGCGAATATGATGAGCAAGCTGAACGAAAAAGAGAATACGAGCAGGAAGTTGAGGCATTAAATATGATTAATTTGAAAATTAAAGAGTAAGTTTCGAGTGATTGTTTTTAAGGATCTTGTACTATTGATCTTTTCTATCAATTTTTTATTCTCCTACCAGGTATAATGATTCAAAGAAAGGTGAGAAGTTGCAGGAAATCCAAGAAAAGCAACATCTGCTTGAATCTCAACTTCAAAGTTGTAAAACTAGAAAGAAGGAAATCTTAGCTGAGTTGAACAAAAGCAAAGATTTAAGAGGGAAACAAGATCAGGTAAGACGAAATATTGAGGATAATTTGAGTTACAGGAAAACGAAAGCTGAAGTAGAGGAACTTACCCATGAGCTTGAGTCACTGGAAGACAAAATGCTGAAGATTGGTCGGAAGCCCAAAGTTCAAGCTGAACTTGAAAAGCTCTCTCATGAGAGGGAGGAGTTTCTGAAAAGGGTATCCATAGTTCTACATCTCAATTACAGCCATATTTGTTAAAAACTTTTTGAGAACAAATAGAACTGAATATATAAGTAGGGATAGAAAGAACAGAAATTTTGAAAGTGCAGTAAACATAGTTGCATGGATGTGGTATCTTTTTGCACTTTGCATATTTTGTTTAATTTCTTTTCATTTAAAATTCCCAAATAAAAGGGTCTTTAAGATAAGAAAGATGAGAGCAAGTTTGAACATTAAAAGATCTCCACTCTAAATCTTTCACTTATCCAGAATTTTGTGCATATAAGTGTGATTGTTGGTGACCATTCTAGTTTCTAATTCAACATTATACATAGACGGTATGAAGTCCAAGAGCTGAAAATGACTTAAATGTGGTCTTTATTGCATGCTCGTTTAAAATATAATTATATAGCATCTCTAGTTGAAACTTCTGTGTTGATTCTATTTCCATTTTTATTTGTATTTCCTTCATCTTTTGCTCAAACTTTTCAAGTTGTTTAATCCTCCTACCATGTCTATATTTCTTACAACTTCTCAAGTGATCCATTTCAGTACTGATTGGTTTGAAGAAATCACCCAAAAATTCACTGCCGAAACGAGTCAAAACATGGTTTTTAAGTGTCTGAGAAATAAAACAAATTATACAGAAAAAAAGATTGCACTAATTAGACTGAAAAGATAAATATATACTCCCTCTGTCCCAAATTAATGGTCCATGCTTCTTGCGATTTTTTTATTTAGAGAACTTTCCTTTATGGCAGTTAAACCAGAATGAGGGGATCATTTCTGCTCACCAGAGCGAAATTTCAAAGCATAAAATTGATCTCAAAAACCCAGATTACAAGGACATTGACAAGCGGTACTTTGATCAGCTAATCCAACTAAAGGTATGGCATCTTCATGAATCGCAAAATGTTTCTCCTGATTACTCATATATTTCTATTGTTAGTCTAATTGTTTTGTGACAGACAACTGAGATGGCAAACAAGGACCTCGACAGATACTACAATGCGCTTGATAAGTGAGCTTCTGGAATCAGATTTAATGAATCTTCATAATTTGATTATTTAACCACAAAATTCTTACTTAAATTGAGGATTAATTCTCCAAATTACTCTGCTGTGTCATAATTTTAACTCCAACCAAAAAAAAATGTTAGTGGAATATCAATATACTTCTAGAATTAGGTTTTGATGGTTTGTTTCATGTCCTGTTGTTCTGCGCTCTCTGAGGCTGAATAATCTTTGTACTATTGGGCATCATTCTTTTGCTGCATTCTCTGTATTCATTTTACTCTTTGTTCTCCTTCCTTCCTCGAAACAAGTCAGTACTCCCAACACTATCAATGTCTTTGGTTGTTGTGGTGGCGATGTAGGTTGTTACCTTTATTGTTAGTTGTGCGATATCCTCTCCAGATCAAGAAATTGGTCACTGGAGAAATTATACTTATTTGGCACCATAGTACTGCCTGTGAAATGAACTGGTACCAAGCATCCACTACTATCATATTGTCATCAATTCCCACTAATCTCATCATGAATTGTTATTTCTTTTTCTTGCACCTGTTCTGGGTTTTTAAATTTATTTGCTTGTTTGATCATGGGACGTTTTGGGTAGGGGGAATTTGGGATCAATTAGGCTATGCCCCACCACATATATCGGTGCTAAAGTTGTAAAGCAAACTTGGGTCAACGTGAATATGGCTTATGCTGAACAGACATAACACAACTTATGCCTTCACTTGCTATGCATTCATGGGTACAAGTGCCTATTTACAGTCGAATATCTACCCCATTAGGTATGACACGACACAATTAAGGCATGGGTATGAAGCAGATTGTATCACAAAATCAGCCTATACCAGGCACGACATGGTGGTCAAATTTATGAGTTATAAATCAGCCTCACTGACTTATTATTCATATTCATGTCTGTGTGTATGTGTGAATAAAGCTCAATTGGTGAATGCTCTCTGGCACACATGTTCGTTATAATGTTGCATACGTCTTCGTTATAATGTGATCTCTGATCTTTCTTTTCTCTTTCTTCAGAGCATTAATGCGCTTCCACAGCATGAAGATGGAGGAAATAAATAAAATTATAAGAGAGTTGTGGCAGCAAACATACCGAGGACAAGATATAGACTACATCTGTATACACTCAGATTCTGATGGTGCTGGGACTCGTTCTTACAGTTACAAGGTATTACCTTTTTTTCTTTTAAGGTTCTTACAAATCCTTTAGGCCTGTTCGCTATCCTTCTTGGATCCAATTTTTAGTTTTTGAAACTAATGAGTAATAAATAATTTAGCTACATTCTTTTGAAAACTAAAAATTGGATCCATGAAGGAAACGAAACAGCCCCTTAAATTCTTGGCCTGTTCTTACATTGTTGCCACTGCATAATGTTAGGTTCTCATGCAGACTGGTGATACAGAGCTTGAAATGAGAGGAAGGTGTAGTGCTGGTCAGAAGGTAAATAATCTTTGAGCGCTTCACTTAACATAGTACCATATTATGTGAAACGGAAAGCTAAAACCTGTGTTTTGGCTTTAGGTCCTTGCCTCCCTCATCATAAGATTGGCTTTGGCTGAAACTTTCTGCCTCAACTGCGGAATACTAGCACTAGATGAACCAACTACAAACCTGGATGGCCCGAATGCTGATAGTCTGGCCGCTGCTCTCCACAGGTACAGGCAGACTACATTCTTTCTCAAATAGCAAATGGATTCTCAATTCACATTTGCCCGTTTATCCTCTTTCTGCAGAATTATGGAGGACCGGAAGGGCCAGGAGAACTTCCAGCTGATAGTAATTACTCACGATGAGCGTTTCGCTCAACTAATTGGCCAGCGCCAGCATGCAGAAAAATATTATCGGGTGGCAAAGGATGATCAGTATGGCTAACATTTTAAAACTTCTGCTTCGGATGTCTTTCCTTTTATATTTTTACGCATCTCTTATTCGGTGTCACTCTAACTTCTCTAACTCCCTCTTCTTTCCAGCCAGCATAGCATAATCGAAGCCCAGGAGATCTTTGATTGAAGCTTCCTAAACGCGTAGTATACACTGTCCTCGAGCCTCATGCAGCTGAAATGAATCAGCACGTTGAAAACTCCGAACGAGAGATTCGGAAGCCCGAAAGTTACGAAACCTTATAAATTTGTAAAATAATGGAAATATGTAGTTAGGTAGAAAATTGAATCGACATCTGGGTTTAATTTAAATCCTTTGCCATCTCGACAGAGTCGGGATTATTACTATACTTGCAGTTCACCTCATTTTTCAGTTGATATCTTGTATCATTTGTGTATAAACCCATAAGAAGCCTCTTTTGGTTATTTTCATAAATCCATCAAATACTTTCTGGCCCGTTTGATAACCATTACGAATAAATAAGTGAACAAGAGTGCAGGAAGGAAAGAGGGAAATTCTACCGAGCGTTATCTATTTTTCGGTTTTTAATTTTACCAAGCATTGTTTTTTATTTTAGTTTTTGGTTTTTGTGCGTTTTGCTTGTTACTCTCACGTATTTCTTCTCCACTTTGGTTAGTTTTTGGGTGCAAAAGTTTGGGAGTGACAATAACGTCAAATAAAAATGGACTAAAGATTTTCCGAAGAATCCGTGAATATTTTGTTTCACCTTTTCGATTTGTTCAATTTAACGGCCAGAAAAACGTGTCAAAGAGATGAAAAATGGGTTCGAGAAGAAAAAAGGCATGTAGAAATCATTTGGGTTTTTGCCCATAAAGTATTATGCACCCCACAGCAGCATGCTGATACCAATTTTGAAAATATATTTTTTGTTGACTATAACGGCAATCACCATTATATATGACAACAAAGAACAGTACATATGAGTATACATGAAGTTATGACGTCATATCTTTCACTTTCCAAACTCTGACCCCCATCAGCATTGTTTATTTCTTGATGAACATATGAAAACACAAACCTAACGCATCTAGTTACCGAGAGGATTTCATCTCAAACTCTGTAACACGTGCCATCCCGACAACTTTAAGATCGATATCGGGGAAAAACAGAAAAATCAACAGCTAATCGATGACATGAAAACAATACAAAGTTTTTTTTTCACCTTTCATTTTTCGGATCACCATAAGGTGAGGTTACTTGATTCGCAAGGCCCGGAAATAATAGAGAAAATAATAGAATAGCGGATACCTACGCTTAATCCTTGTACTTCATGTCGGCCAAGGAGAAGCCGGGCATGTCAAATGAGGCGGAGAACTTCTCGACATCAGCCTTGAGTTCTTCAATGTCCTTGTTGTTCACCAAACCCTTGTTGAAGTCCTTGAGTAGTTTTCCATGCTCCTTCTGGATTTTCAAGGTGAGAGTTACAGCCCTGTGAAGGAATTCCCCTATCTTCTCAAAATCCTTCTCAACCAAACCTCTTGAGGTCATAGCCGGGGCACCTGTTGTTAAAACATCACATAACTTATTTCAGGACAAATGTAGCAAGGACGTCTATGAATACCGTACTACCATGGTCGATAAGTACCATGTGAAATTTCATTCCATGCAGAAATTTTGTATGGCAATGGAAAAGCCGATTTATACAGCAGTTCTTACCGATTCTTACTCCTCCAGGAGCCAAGGCACTGCTGTCACCAAAAACAGCATTCTTGTTCACAGTAATGTTGCACAGGTCACAAAGCTTCTCAACCTTGTTGCCTGAAGAACATCATCAAAGAGTTAGAATTGTATTAAGAGAAAAAGAAGTGCTCGTGGCCATCACATTTATCATTCGAGAAAATTGAACACTTTACCGGTCAAACCAAGAGGCCTGAGATCCCACAGAACAAGGTGGTTCTCTGTTCCTCCTGTGACAAGCTTGTAATCCTTGCTCATCAGGTAGTTCCCGAGGGCAACAGCGTTGGCCTTGACTTGTTTGGCATATGCCTTGAACCCGGGTGTCATGGCCTGCTTAAGAGCAACAGCTAGGGCACCGATTTGGTGATTGTGAGGACCACCTTGAAGGGAGGGAAAAACAGCAAAGTTGACCTTGTCTTCAAAGTCATAAACTGCACCCTCGGGCTGGCCCTTCTTGGGTGGTTTTGGTCCCTTCCTGTAGAAGATCATACCAGCCCTAGGACCCCTCAAGCTCTTGTGGGTTGTGGTTGTGACAATGTCACAGTACTCAAAGGGATTTGCAGCTTCCTATACCCAAAGAAAGAGGGAAATAAGCACGGTAAACATACAAACTATTACGAGCACAGCAAAGCCAATAATTCAATACTACAAACAAGGCTGCACGATTATGTGTTATGCACAAAAAACAATGTCGCTAATTATCCAAATGCAATGCAATTTAGAGTTGCAAATGAAATTTACGGGTGTGGTTTCAATGTTTCGTAGCACTTAGCCGTTGGATTTGATTTCCACAACTATTAGATCTTCTATTTCAATTTCAGCCATTCAATTTCCATACCACTGTACTATTGAAGAAAAATTGAATATTACCCTGCTATAGCTTAAAGTTGAAACACAGATGCGTAAAACGAAAATTAGATTTTCATGAAACTTCATTGTTTATTAAAAATCCGAAAATCCGAATCTAGCAAAACGACACAAGTCAATATCCAGGTTTCAGTATGACCGGCACATCCTACACCACCAGTCATTATACAAATGATGGAATATATTCGTTAAAAAATTAATAACTTAAAAAATAAAATTTCACCCCATTACATAAAACACGTAATGTACTTTTTCCATCACAATAAAACACGTGCAGTGCAGATCTACTTCATATTTAAATAACCAAAAGAAAATTATTTTTTCCAATTTCATCCCCTTAAGAACACATATGTTTTTACTAATTACGTCCATTTCCATTTGCATCCCGGTGAAGAAATGACCCAAATTTATCAGAATTTCCGGAACACAGATTTTGATGCAAACACAACATAACCAAAACATTGATAAGTAAATCAAATCAAAGGTATTCCGATTGGATCAGAAGAAATGCGAATGAATACAGATAACAATCTAATCTAATCGAATCGAAATTAAAAACCAGATCTGCTGAACCAATCAAGTTAATCACACAAACCCAATTCATAAATATCAAAATTACGCAAACCCATCAGATCTGATAAACCAATAACACAGAAGATTCACAAAAAAGCACATACCTGAGCAGCAACAAGGCCGCTAATGTGAGCCATGTCGCAGAGCAAAAGAGCACCGCACTTATCCGCAACGGCGCGGAACCTTGCGTAATCCCAGTCCCTGGGGTACGCACTGCCGCCGCAAATTATCAATTTTGGCCTGAAATCCAAGGCCTTCTCCTCCAACTTGTCGTAATCGATGAACCCAGTTGAGGAATTGACCTTGTACGGCAGACTCTCGAAGTAAATCGAGGTCGCCGAGATCTTCTTCCCTCCGGAAGTGTAGTACCCGTGGGTCAGGTGACCACCGGATGGAAGGTCCAATCCCATGATGCGGTCATGGGGCTCGAGGACGGCGGTGTAGGCGGCGAAGTTGGCGGGAGAACCGGAGTAGGGCTGAACATTGACACCCCATTTGGCGGCGTCGAGGTGGAAGGCCTGGAGGGCGCGCGAGCGGCACAAGTTCTCGATCTCGTCGATGAACTCGTTGCCTCCGTAGTAGCGGTTGCCGGGCATGCCTTCGGAGTACTTGTTGGTGAGGGCGCTCCCGAGGGCCTCAATGACGGCGAAGGAGGTGAAGTTTTCGGAGGCAATGAGCTCGATTCCTCGGCATTGGCGGCGCTTCTCCTTCTCGATGAGGTCGTGGATCTCGGGGTCCACGCTCTCGAGGGAGGAGTTGCCCCACGCGTTTACTGGTTCCATGGGGACGGATCGGAGAGGAAGAAAGGAGGAGGAGGAAGAAAAACGGAGGCAGATAGAGATAGAGATAGAGATAGAGAGAGAGGTGGTTGTGGGATGGTGGTGGCAAACTGACGATTGGGGTTTATAGGGCTTGGATTTGCTGAAAATACCATTTAGTCCTTTTGGGATGGTTATGTGGTTGGTAATGTGGATTGGTGGCTTCATCCTTCATTTTACAATGCCTTTCTGTTTTTTCTTTTTTCGTCAATTAGGTTTTTCTTTTTATTATTCAAAAGGATTTTTTTTTTTCATTACAAGCTAATAATATTATAATTTAGAATAGAAACGAAAAGGATTTGAATTCGAGACACGATAATTTGAAGATGAAAACCTAATTCGATGAAAACTTAATTTGAAAAGGCACTCGGCCAATTGTTATTCATAAGGACTTTTAAGATTTCAACTTCTTTTTACTATTTTTATTTCTCAAACATTTTTAGAGGTGTACAACGAGCTAACCTGCATTGACCCTACCGATTTAAGATTGGTTTAATCGTATTTCATAAGAGTCTATTAATAAATTGGTCAATTTGGGTATTTTGTTTTAAGTTTTCATTTCCAAAAGTTTTGGGATGTTTTTGTATTGTCTTTGGGACTTTGGGCCTTTTGTTTTAAGTTGTTATACACAACTTAAACTAAGAGCTTAATGCTCACTCAGTACTACAGTCTAGTGGTATTCTTCTTCACTTATAAGTGAAAGGTCATAGGTTCGAATCTCGTGGATGCTGAATTCGATGACAAATTAGACTGCTCATTATGTGGCTTAGCTGAACACTCCCTCCTCCTAATGTAAAAATATTGATGTACTCAAAAAAATAAAATTACTAAAAGTCCAATGGGGCTATAGTACCTCATGTTTAAAGATTAATTACATTACTGCATCGATTTATAGAGCTTCTAATTTGACATATAATAAAAGTAAAACATTCATGTAAGAACTCTCATTTGATCGTGTCTACTGAACTAACACTCCATTTAGCATCCACATAGTGACTTCATACAAATGACTCGACGTGAATCACTCTTTTGAATGAGAAGACATAGTATGTGCATATCATTACAAATAAAATCAGGAACATTTAGATATGAGTATGGCTCTATGAGAGAGAAATGTCTCATGAATACGATTTCTTTAGATTATATTCTCTCATGTTTAGGCATATAACTCTTAATGAGACAGTTGTAAACAATAACCTTGCATGTTAATTACACTAAATAAATTTAATATATGAAATGTTTGTAAATATATTCTTATAACTGGCATTTATTGCACACTTCCAATAACCTATATAGTATTCCAATGAGGTTTTTTTTTTTTCTTTATATGTTCCTACAAATTAAGATTGATATTTCATCTTCAGAAGCTTGTTAATAGATTTTCTAATAGTTGTACGAAATTGAAGTGAAAAAAATAATAAAATTAAATGTATGTGACTGAAGTGTTTTTAAAGATATTAATTGTATGAGGTTGCAATTACATCCAAACCTAAGAAGATAAAATGCAATTTATCCAAACTAAACGAAGTTACATTGTTGGTATTTTATAGACTAAGAGTTCAAATGGTTACCAAATGCCCTTGAATTCTACTGCTGAATTTGTTTTATAGATAACAATTGTAGAAGAGACATCTAAAACCAACAAAAAACAATATAATTGTTGAATCACATTGTATTTTCATTCACGTTCAAACTTTGATCATAGCTCTCCACTGAAACTTGCCTTTTGGACTATATTCTTGACCGGACCTTGAGACAAAAGTATGTTTTAGGAGTTGGTGATACGGTTCACTACCAACTTGTGAAGAAGAAAATTCATCATGAGGTGGGAACATTTTTGCTCGTCATCTTCAACTTCAAGTGATGTTGATGTTTACCCGCTTATTTATCATCATTGAATGAGTTTGAATATCAAGACATATTTGTATAGTTAATAAAACAAATCTTAAAATTTAAAAACATCCAATAACAATAAGTAGGCATGTCAAATGGATCATGTTTGTTGTGTTCGTATCGTTTCCATATCATACTCATTATCTTAACGAGTCGTGTCAGATCAAAAACATTATCTTAACAAATGACCCAATAATGACCCAATTCATTAACGGGTCGTGTCGTTTTGTGTTCAGTTAACAGGTCATGCAATAAATTATCATGCATAATGTCTAGATCTGGTAAACAATAACTTAAGAGGTGACCCGATAATGTCCTGACTTGTTAATTGGTTGACCCGAAATCTGTTATTTTTATGTCGTTTTGTATCGGGCTAATGGATCGTGTAAAAAACTGTCAGACTACTAATAAGTAAAGTGATGAGTATTACCACCACTTGAAAATGATGAGCAAAACTGCAATGTTGTGAGGAAGAAGATGGAGGAAATGGAATAATGTAGTCACCATCACTGCAGGAGTTGGTGAGATGCTGGTTTATTTTGGTTTAGAAAAAGGTTGGGATTGTAGAAGATGGGGGCTTTTGTGGGGGTTGGTGATGGGCAACTTGGTCAATTACCATGCAAACCAACCCCATAGATGTCGACATTTTCCTTCTTAACTTGTGTAGGGTGGTGTTTCCATTGGATGATGGACTATAACCACCAAATCTCACCTATTTTCTTCATTAATTCATTAATTAATTAGGATTTATGTGTGCGTTTTTAACATGTAAGAGTAAAAGTTGATTATTCGAACAAGTGGAATTTTCTTTTCCAATTAAAACCAAATAAAATAGTGGACTCTGATAGGAAGACACCGGACCGTTTTGGCCGCAGCCCACCAAACACGCACCAACCCCCGGCCACCGGAGGAGTTTTTTTTTCCAAGTCACGTAACAACATCGCCAACAGTCTTTATATTGTAATATATTTTAATTATAAGTCCGTTGAATTACGTTACAATTTGAAAGGTAAAATTTGGTACTTCACAATTTTGTTCCTCAATTGACTCTATAAATTTTCATATTTTATTACTATATAATAGATATAAGTTGATCTCATGTTTTTTTGTTGTTGTTTGAGAGCTTGTTTGGATGTTCTTTTAAAATGACCGAAAACTCTTTTGGTGAAAATATTTTATCTAAAAACGCTTTCAATCATTTCAAAAACATATACAAACAAGTTCTAATTAGTTAATAAAGATGCACCAAGACTTGAATGGAAACTCTCTAAATCTAGCGAGTAAAATATACGAACCCACGGTGCAAAACGAAAGGAGAGCTTGCTCTTATTGACGAGGACATAAATGGCTACACGAGCAGGGGCTCCTGGAAAAAACGGTGACCTGACCACCGCAAACCCCACCATGCACATGCTGATATGCCTCTCCAGCACATCATCAGATCAGATCTACGGCTTGCTTCCGTTCAGATGCAAAATCTAAAGTCAGTGGTCCCACATGTCTCTCCCCCGACATTGTGCCAAACTGACATTAATTTCATCACGCTAGCTCCACTCTTTTCACTTAAAAGTACGACCGTTACATAAATAAAGCATAACAGGAATAAGATCTACAACTCCAGCTCATAAAGTATATAATAGGGAATGAGTGTGTACATATATTGCAGCTACTAGCGAAAAATTGTTCTATATTTCCGACGTATGACGTACGAAAGTTTCAGTCTTGTAATAAAATTAATTGATAGTATGTGAAATTTATTTTCAACAAATACATACATTAGATAAATCATCTGAAAGGAGGGTGGAGCCAAAGTAAGGTAAGATTAGCATGATAAATTAGGAGGAATGCAATGCATGGACGTTTAGCGTCTACACGAACACGTGATTCGCCTATTGAACCTCAAAACTTCTCCAAAACAAAGAATCCTTACAGTGACACAAATTTAGTCCTAATGCTAGTACCATTACAGCCGGTTGAGAAAGACTTTCGTGGAATCGGGATTTCACTAAGACGATATTCTAGAGAAATTACTTATATCTTATAAAAACCAAAATATTAAACGCCTGATTGATTTTGAACATCACAAAAATAATACTCCGTTGTAAATAAGTTTCTCTCGAACGTTGTAATAGGGTGCGAGCTAGCAGAAAGAGGGCCATATTACATGGATGGTCAAAGATTTAGTTTGATGATCTTAATAAAAGAGAAATAAAGACAGTAGAACATCCTTCCATATTTTCATCGATGCTGAGCAAGTACTCGAACGTACCATCATTACCAACCAGTCGGTGAAGGCAAAAAGTGTGGGGCTTTTGTTTTATTTTATTAAAAAGGTGGGGCCCACGACTCGACCGACGCAAATTGTCGTAACAATGACGCCCCTGGCAGTCTGTCCGACACTATACATTTACCAAACCAACACAAATATCACATGAAACCATGAATTTTTCTGTTTTATCTAATTAAACAGAATATAAAATTATGAATTCATTTGGTCTGGGCCAAACTTCATTAGGCCCAATCACATTATATTTGGTCCTGGGCTTTTTATCTTATATCTACTGGACCCAAACCACATGGATTGGAGCCTTGGACCGTCCAAACATTATTGACTTTTGGGTTATGGAAAATATACAGAGATAAATTCTTTCAATTAAGGTAGAACTAAAGGCGGGAAAGAGATCATCTCCGGATTTATTCCATCAAATTTATAAATTCGGGCTCTTGAAATTTGATCATCTCCGGATTTATTCCATCAAATCTATAAATTCAGGCTCTTAAAATTTGATCTAACGGTTAGTGTCTTATTTGTGTCTCTTATCTCCTTTTCGACACGTGTCGTAACACTTAACTTCAACTTAAGGCGTTAAGTTTTAGTAAATTAAAAAATAAATATTGAAAAGAAAAAAACAAATAAACTAAAGTCTCATCTACCAAGCCTGATAGCCACCCCCACGCGATCGACATAAACCTCCCTCCCTCTCTCTCAACCATGAAAGGCAGTCATCCCCACACCATTAACGACGGCGAGTGAGAGTGTGGGTTGACGTCGATGGCGTGGTGGCTTGGGCCTGGGTGGGTGGACTTCGATGGTTTCTGGTTTTTTTTTTTTCCGTTCTTTTTCAATTTTTTTATTTTTAGTATTTACATTTTTCTTTATCAAATATTGACAAAAGTTAAATTAAAATTAAATGATACCACACATGTCTCAAAATAAGAAAAAAAGACAAAGATATACTTTTTGAGATAAGTAATGTTAGGTAAATCAATTTTTTCGATCTTATTTGTAAATTATGTGATGTCACACCAATAAAAAATACGTTAATTCACACTTAATTATAATTCAATTATTAACAACAACAACATATCGCTTATAAAGTATAATTTTAAATAATTAATCTCCCTTTCACGATTTATAAAATAAAATTTAAATAAACATCTCACTAACTTTAACGTTAACGATTGGAGACAAGAAAATCCATGGCCTCCCTTATCTGCCATCGATGAATCATATCATCCAAGAAAGCCACGACCCGCAAAAGCTGGGTCCCGCATCATCTTCCGTCTACAACGCCAAATAACGTTTCACTCTCGTTTCCAAAAAAAAAAAAAAGAAAAAAAAAAACTTTTCACTTTTATTTACCAGATCCACCAACTCCTCCCACCCCGAAATCTCCACCGTCCATCTCCCCCTCCCTCCCTATTTATAGCCCCTGAATCCCTCACTCTACCCTCGCACTGATCCCTCACTCGCAAAGACAACCCTAGTTTTGCAGAGTGAGAGAGATTACCACCTAAGTTACCCGCAATGGCTCTCTCCGTCGAGAAAAGTAGCAGCGGCCGCGAGTACAAGGTCAAGGACATGTCCCAGGCCGACTTCGGCCGCCTCGAGATCGAGCTCGCCGAGGTCGAAATGCCCGGCCTCGTCTCCTGCCGCACCGAATTCGGACCCTCCCAACCCTTCAAGGGGGCTCGCATCACCGGATCCCTCCACATGACCATCCAGACCGCCGTCCTCATCGAAACCCTCACCGCTCTCGGCGCCGAGGTCCGCTGGTGCTCCTGCAACATTTTCTCCACCCAGGACCACGCCGCCGCCGCCATCGCCCGCGACAGCGCCGCCGTCTTTGCCTGGAAGGGCGAAACCCTCCAGGAGTACTGGTGGTGCACCGAGCGCGCCCTCGACTGGGGCCCAGGTGGTGGACCCGATCTGATCGTCGACGACGGCGGTGACGCCACCCTCTTGATCCACGAGGGAGTCAAGGCCGAGGAGGAGTTCGCGAAGTCCGGGACGCTCCCCGACCCGTCTTCCACCGATAACCAGGAGTTCCAGCTCGTTCTGACCATCATCAGAGATGGCTTGAAGACCGACCCCAAGAGGTACCACAAGATGAAGGACAGGTTGGTCGGAGTCTCGGAGGAGACCACCACCGGCGTCAAGAGGTTGTATCAGATGCAGGCCAGCGGCGCTCTCTTGTTCCCCGCCATCAATGTCAATGACTCTGTTACCAAGAGCAAGGTATGTCTCTCAGATCTCCTTTTTGCTATCAATTCTGCTATATTATTTAGATCTGAGTTTTTTGGGACCTAGGATTTGTGCATTGCTGATTTAGATCTGATGGGGTTTTGCTTTAGATCTAATTAGATCCATATGTATATGGGGTTTTGCTTTTTTGTGATTGTGCATAACAGTTTGACAACTTGTACGGATGCCGTCACTCTCTCCCCGATGGTTTGATGAGAGCCACCGATGTTATGATTGCCGGAAAGGTTTCCGTTGTCTGTGGATACGGAGATGTTGGAAAGGGTTGTGCTGCTGCCCTCAAGCAAGCTGGATCCCGCGTGGTTGTGACTGAGATTGATCCAATCTGTGCCCTCCAGGCTCTTATGGAAGGCCTTCAGGTTCTTCCCCTTGAGGATGTTGTCTCTGAGGCCGATATCTTTGTTACCACCACCGGTAACAAGGACATCATCATGGTTGACCACATGAAGAAGATGAAGAACAATGCCATTGTTTGCAACATTGGTCACTTTGACAATGAGATTGACATGCACGGTCTTGAGACATACCCCGGAGTGAAGCGCATCACCATCAAGCCTCAAACCGACAGGTGGGTCTTCCCCGAGACCAACAGCGGCATCATTGTGTTGGCTGAGGGCCGTCTCATGAACTTGGGCTGTGCCACTGGACACCCCAGCTTTGTGATGTCCTGCTCTTTCACCAACCAAGTGATTGCTCAGCTCGAGTTGTGGAATGAGAGGAAGTCCGGCAAGTACGAGAAGAAGGTGTATGTCTTGCCTAAGCACCTTGATGAGAAGGTTGCTGCCCTTCATCTTGGAAAGCTTGGAGCTAAGCTCACCAAGCTCACCAAGGAGCAGGCTGACTACATCAGCGTGCCGGTCGAGGGTCCATACAAGCCAGCTCACTACAGGTACTGAAGAGGGATCGTCACTGAGACAAGAAATGAGAAAAAGAAAACTATAACTAGACGACGGGTTGTTTTTGGCTTTTGATTATTTTTTACTTGTGATGAAATGCGATAGAATTTCTAGGTTTTTAAATTTTGTAAGAGAGTTTGTGTTGGTGGGCTTCGGAGGGAATGAGGGAAGGGGATGATTTAGGTCTCAATGGAAGACCTGGGGCTTGAATAAGGGAATGGGACGTGGTTGCGTGAGATAATTTCTGCTGCAGCATCACTTGTGGTGCTGCATCCGGATATCTATCATTTTACCAGCAAGAAATGGATCAAAAAAAAAAATGAACCAGTTACCGTCATTTCGAGTTTTGATTCGATTCGTCCTCGGTGTTACGATTGGATTCATTTTGTTTATTTTTGCGTCTACCTATCCGATTGCCATTGATGTTTGTGAATTTATAATGAATGCATTAGGGTAATATAATTTAGACTCGCCCGGTTTCTCCTTTTGCACTCCTTCCCGTTTGCAAGGTAAACACAGACGGGGGTGCATATTTAGAAGTTGGAAGTAGTTGAAAATTTGTTTGATTTTTTATGTATGGATTTTTGAATGTTTTAGTGAGATTGCGTTTCTTGGACGACATAGACAAAATATTCGTTTGTGTTGAAACGTCGCCGTTGGTGGCGCGTTGCTGGCGTTGGTGCCGGCGGGGGGTGGGTGAGTTGAGAAGTGGGTGGGTGGGTGATAAGAAAAGCAGCCATTATTATTATTATTATATTGTAGTTTTATTGGGCATGTATTATACTAATACGTTAATCATGTTTAACGCACGATATCTTATCAGATATTTTCTCGGCGTTTGATGATGGGAATGTGGTGGGCATCTCCCTGTAAATAATTATTTTCGTGTTCGTATTTTGAAAGTAAAAAACTAAAAAGAATATAGTAGGCCAACTAAATATTTTTTCGAGAATTGTTATTAGGGATGGTCAAATATCCATTGGTTATGGGTAATTGTGGTTATCCGTCCATTTAAATTTGACGGTTACGATTATGGATAATCGTTTAGATAAATAAACTGATTATGGCATAACCATTTACATGTGAAATTTAAATGAGCGGATGATTATGGGTATTACCTGCAGTTATAAACAGGTATCTATTTAACCGTTTATTTTAATATATGTAAAACTAAAAAAAAAAAATTTTGTTTCTAACTAGGTTTAGTATCCCGGATATAATTGATTATAAGGGCCATAATATATATATATATATATATATATATATATATATATATATATACACATATTTAGGCCTCATTTGAGAGAAAAATATAGGGATCTTTTGATATAGGTGCCTCAGTTTTGAATTTTCTAGATCAAACATTCATGTCTTTTAGTGATTTGATTAAACTTTGTTTTCTTCATAATTTGCGTGCTATATGCACATTGTGTTGTAACAAATTTCCTATAATCTAGCATTTTGATTACTCTCCTCCGTTATAGATCATTGTCAAAAAAAAAAAAAAAGGGTTAGATTCAAAATTATTTTCACAATAATGCTACAATTTAGCAATAATTATCTACAATTTAAGATATTTTCTTTCCAAAATAGTTTAAAATATTTTTAAATCCCCCAAAATCAAACGTACCGAAATAAGTTTTTCTTTTAGTACATTAAAAGAAAATAGGATTGAAAATAATATAAACGTACCAATACACAATGTGTACAAAATAAAAATAATGTACCAATATTAACAATGTATTAAATTAAACGTACCAAAATTGCATATAAATGTATCAATTAATGATTTTTGTAAATTCAAACGTACCCGCAGATATTATATACGTAATGTATTGTACCTAATAATAATTTGTCAACAACTGTACTTAAAAAAAAAAAAAACAGCAAAAAAAGAAAAACTATAATTTCACAAGAAAAAATTTAAAAATTACACAAAACTTTATATTGATCACCAACTATTTGAAAAAGAAAAAAAACCATTTGGAAAAAAGAAATAATATTAAATGTTTGCTTAACAAAAAAAAAATGTGATCGAAAAAACATATTTGGAAGAAGAGAAAATATAGTTTAATTAATAATATCTCTGCTAAATAAGGAAAAGTGCATCATGCAGATAAAAGAATATATTCAAAAATTATTTTAATTTTAAAAAATTGAGGTGACTATTGTCACATCCCGGCCGAAGCCCCTACCACATCTCGGGCTTGACTCCACCGTAGCACGATATTGTTCGCTTTGGGCCCCGACCACGCCCTCACGGTTTTGTTTCTGGAAACTCACACGAAAACTTCCCAGTGGGTCACCCATCCTGAGATTGCTTTCGCACGAACTCGCTTAACTTCAAAGTTCTTACGGAACCTGATGCCAATGAGCTCCCAAAAGGCTTTGTGCTAGGTAGAGATGGAAATATACATATAAGGATCACCCCCCTGTGCAATGTGGAATCTTACAATCCATTCCCCTTCGAGGCCTGATGTCCTCGTCGGCTCACCACAACCAAGGTTAGGCTCTGATACCAAATTGTCACATCCCGGCCCAAGCCCCCACCACATCTTGGGCTTAACTCCACCGTAACACGATATTGTCTGCTCTGGGCCCCGACCACGCCCTCACGGTTTTGTTTCTAGGAACTCACACGAGAACTTCCTAGTAGGTCACCTATCCTAGGATTGCTTTTGTGCGAACTCGCTTTAACTTCGAAGTTCCTACGGAACCCAAAGCTAATGAGCTCCCAAAAGGCCTCGTACTAGGTAAAGATGAGAATATACATATAAGGATCACTCCCCTGAGTGATGTGGGATCTTACAACTATTGGTCAAAGTAATTTAATCAAATTTTAAAAAGACACAGATGCTAAATGATATAGAAAGACTGTAGAGAATTCTACTTTTCCCAAAAATATAGTTGATGGAACGGGCCAATGTTTAATATATGTAATTGAATGTGCTAAAACATTAGAGTGTTCGACAATTTTGTTTTGGAATCTTTTAGAGCTTTGACCAATTCAAGATAATGATTACCTTAAGCATTTAGAAACATGTTATTATCAGATGATGCGTACCTATATATATATATTATCAAAGTTGTTAGAGATTGAAGTGAAACGGGAGCCATGTATTATTCTATTTATTTTCTTTACTAGTATCAAATAAGAGAAATGAACGTAGAGATGGACAAATGAGGAAAACATGATTATTACTTTTTGCTTTTCATTTTTTTGTACTACCCATACGATATAAGCATACGTCTTTTTTAATACATGTAAAAGGCTTACACATCAAAACAATAAAAACCAAACTTTTACTATTTAAGCAATATACTTTTGACTTCTATTCTTCCACTTTCCACCCTTAGCCATATGTGGTTGTTTTTTTTTATGTGGGCATTCACACCAATTTCACAACATAAATCATTACTTGAGTATTTATAGTCTCAACAATTACTAATGTTAGTGAGAAATAATTCAAGAATTAATTACAAAAAACAAAAAGGCACAACCTTGTATTACTTGTAGGGCAAGTAACCCCATTATTTTTCTTTAAAAAGGCACAAGGTACGGAGAAATATCATCATAGTAATTCCTAAGCCTATTTTTTCTCTTTATGCAGCTGCACCCCCCTCTCTCTCCTTCAGTTAAATTTAGGCCACAACGCATTGTTAAACACGCTCCTGACACTGAGCTAAGGAACTGAATGCTTGTTTACTACAAAACCGTTCACAATATTCATCAAGCAATCCAAGTAATCTATAAAACATGGTTTCAATTTCAATATTTTTTCAGCAATGATTACATGAAACATTCACCATGAAGCATGAACTCTAATTTTACGTTTTTTTTTTTTTTTCAAATTGTAGATTCAGCTTAAATTTATTGTTCTTATAATTGTGGTGAATTGAATATGCGTGAATAAGAGAAGAAAAAAAATGGGATTTTTCAAACCCTACACGTATGGGAGCCGCATCCTGAAGCCGCGCTGCCCGAGCCACCAAGTCGTTCCTGCTCCAAAACTCTAAGGTCCAAAACAAAGCCGTTTTGCATCACCTTTCTTACGGACCTGGGCTGCCTGCAGTCGACTCGCAACCCAATTGGGCATATGCACCAAACCGTCCCACTTGGTTTTTTTCTTTTGGGCCTTGTTTTATTTTTGGCTCGCATGAAATAACAAGCTCATGGGTTAGGCCTTCTTTTTCACTTTTCCTTCTTAGCCCAATAATTTGGTATATAATCTGTTAACCCATTTACTTCTCCTTTGTTGCCCAACAACCCAACAACCACTCTTTGGGACCTGTAAGCCACAACAGCCCCATATTTTGGGTCGTCACTCATTCTTTTCACACATAAGTCCCGAAGCTATTCCCCTTCACTACATATGTATATTGTGTTTGTTTGCAGGTATCATGAACATAGAGTTCGTACTTAAACTCGAACTTGAAGTTTTGAAAATAAGTGCCATAGAAATTCGAAGTTTCATAAAACAATACACCCGTAAAAATCTGGAGTTCTTGTAGGTGATTTGTTAGGATTCCATGGTGGATGATGCTTTTAAAAACAACTGTAAAATTTAGTTTGTGCAAATTACTTTGTTGTCCATAATTTTATTTTGTGATAGAAGACAAAAATATTTTTTCACCCTCTTATAGTTGACAAAAAGAGTTTCATTAATATATGGTTTAAATTAACTTCTTTCATACAAATCTGTTATGTGTAAATAAACTAACTTGAAATAGGTCCAATTTTAAGGAAAGAGATCCTCTCCGGATCCCTTCCACCAAATCCACCCAATCAATCAATCAAGGCCCTTAAAATTTGATCTAACGGCTACAAACAGGGGGTCCTCTTTAAAAGTTATAATAACCTTAGCCGTTGGACTAAATTTCAAGGGTCCGAATTAGGTGATTGGGTAGATTTGGTGAAAGGGATCCGGAAAGGATCCCATTCCCAATTTTATGGCCTAGCAATTAGATTAGTCCAATTTTTAGTTTTTTTATTTTTTATTTAGGTCCATGAATAGGACTCCATGTGTCAGTACTTTTTGTTGTTACGTTGATACTTTGCATTATGATTACTATTTTACTCTACTATAGCTATTCAATGGAAAAAGAAAAAAAAGAAAAAAAAAATGATACGATCGGTACTTTGCTAGCTACTCTTCTTGTGGATAATCGCTCAAAAGGTAGTGACTAGTATCAGACAAAAGTCGCTAGTTTCATACCGATCCATCCTTTTTTTTTTTTTTTTTTTCAATTTGTTATTTTTTTTTGTTAATGTTTCTTTTATTTCTCTTACCATAACAACAAACTATCATATTTATGTTTTTCAAAATATATTTTTTCCGTGCAAAATATATTATAATTCATTTTTAAACACTTGTAATCAATGATTTAAAATCCAAATTTAAAGATATTTTTCTATTTTCTCACTTTAAGAATCAATAAAAATAGTTTCATGACCTAATAATCGGTGGGATCACATCCAAAGGTTTTGCAATATTTTCCTTAACTCCAACGCAAAATATTTCTTAAAGCTAAAAATTTCAAATTTTTTTTCACAAAAAACTGTGTGCTATAAGCTAAAGTTAGAGTCATTCTATTCGCAGCACATAATTTCTAAAATTAATTTAGGACATTTCTAAAATTTCGAACACCTATAAATCTCTTGTGGGGCCTCGCTATTAGTTATATTATTTTTCTATTTTTTTTTTCAACTCAAGTATCCTATTAGTCGGCATAAACCCAAATTTCAGCTGATCTTTTACAATCTAAACTACCTATCATATAAATATTTTTATAGTCTAAACTACATGTTATATAAGTACGTGTACAAGCTAAACTACCTATCATATTATAATATTAGTCGGTATAAACTTATATTTCAACTGATATTTTATTATCTAAACTACCTATTATATAAGTGCTTTTACAGTCTAAACTACCTGCCATATAAGTACTTGTATAAGCTATACTACCTATCGTATTGTAACTACCTATCATGGTGGAATAAGTAATTTTACATGATTCTAACAGTAAGATGTAGTCCTCCATTTTGGTAATGTTAAAAGCCCCCAAAGCTAACACAATCAATGTCAAAAGCCTCTTGAGCAATTACTTACATAAGACAATCAATGTATAATGCTTGCGAATCATGTAGACTAGAATCATGTAACAAATACCAGCAAAAATGAAGCTTACTGTTGTAAACGACTCAACGAAGACATGTAAAATTACTTGCAGTTCTCATAGCTTCATGCAAATTCAAATTAAAATTTAGATACTAATTTGCAGGAATTGCAGTTTTTGATGAAACGACGAGATTTGATGAGTAACTTTTTTTTTTTTTTTTTTTTTTTAATACAACGATATATTTTACACTAAAAAAGATGAGAGTTTTTTATGAAATGAAATGATGCGATTTGATGTGTAACTTAAAGTTCCATGTTAATTCTAGAAGAGTCATGATAAAACATTCAACAACAATCGATGCAACTTTGTTTCAAATTATGGACACTTTAATTGCTATACTTATTAGACCCTACCTATGACTGTGCAATACATTAGACCCATATCAAAACATGAGGATCATGATCCTTTCCTGAGCAAAGGGTGAGGATCCTCCTAACCAAGCCCATCGGGCCGTTGAAATTTTATCCAACGGCTACAAATAGGGGGCCCCTCTAAAAGTTATAATAATTGTAGCCATTGGATAAAATTTCAACGACTCGATGGGTTTGGTCAGAAGGATCCTCACTAGGGATGGGCAAATACCCATTGGTTATGGGTAACCGTGGTTATCCGCCTATTTAAATTTGACGGTTATTGTTATGGGTAACCGTTTAGATAAATAAACGGTTATGAGTATAACCGTTTACCCATGAAATTTAAATGAGCGGTTATATATGGGTATTACATGCGGTTATAAACGGGTACTCATTTAACTGTTTATTTTAATATATGTAAAACTAAAAAAAAAAAAAAAAAGGTTTCTAACTAGGTTTAGTATCATGAGATATATTTGGTTATAAAGGGCCATATAATATATATATATATATATATATATATATATTTATGCCTCACTTGAGAGAAAAATATAGTTGATAGAACGGGCTAATGTTTAATATATGTGATTGAATGTGTTAAAGCATTAGTGTTCGACAGTTTTGTTTTGGATTCTTTTGGAGATTTGACTAATTCAAGATAATGATTACCTTGAGTATTTAGAAACATGTTATTATTAAATGATGCGTACATATATATATATATATTTATTTATTTAATTGGCCTCGAGTTTTCAATAAATATTTGACCCCAAAATTAGAAATCGATTAAATGGCTTGGATCGATGAACATATGCTTCTAAATAAAAATCCAAATATTTATCAAATTAGCCTTTTAGCATATTGATGCGTACTTACATATATATATATATATATCTATGTATACAAGAATATTAATTAATCTACAATCATGCATGATTCTTGTAATAGATTGACCGTCAAATAATTGGGAGACATCGCATATATTCATAAATAATATTGCCGTTAATATAAAAATACATGATAAATGTACTTATAACGGTATTTAATAGTTAGAAAAAAGAAAATTATGACAAATTTCTTTTTAATTTTCAAGTTGTTAAAAAAATAGGTAGACGGGTAAAAAAAAAAAAGGTAAACGGATACGTGGTTATGGGTAAATGGGTATGGTTAACCGTTTATAAACGGTTATGGGTATGGGTATACCCGTTTATGTAAATACCCAATGGGTAAACGGTTATGTGGGTAAAAGCTTAAACGGTTATAGGTAAATAACCACAGTTACCGGTCCACTATAACCGTTGCTCATCCCTAATTGTTATTAGTATTTAAAAAATTTTAATTTTGTATTTTAATTTTTTTACAAATAGAAAGAAAAATGCATTTATGAAAAGTGCAGAATAATATTTTTAGAGTACTAATCAGTCCCACTTCTATTTCGATCAATTGACTTTTACCAAAGTTGGATATATCTTATACGCAAAGTTTGGGCTTCCAGTATCCACATAAAAGAGTAACTTGAACAGCAAGCAACAAGTAGCAGCCAAGCAGACTACTAGAAAGACTTGTAAACAAACTTGGATTTGATGGGAGAATTTATTCAAAATGGTCTTTGAGATTAACATAACTTCTTACTTTTTTTACCTAAGAATGAAAATAGATAGATGACCATGTGGCCACTATTTTAAGGTATTTTGTAAAACCAACCCTCTACGTAACAAAAATGTTGGCAGATTTTTCACGGAATGAACAAAATGATTTACGATAGACAAACTCATGGATCATTTTTATCGATTTGAGGATGAGTGAAAGGCCTGTCGCAGAGGGTTTGGCTTTGTTGGCTTTTCCAATGAACTTCCTGACGGACTGCTTCCTGGAAGGTACATCGATCAGATTCTTAGGCAAAAGGTACAACAATGTGCTCAAACTAAGTTTAGATAACATAGTATCATGCACTACTAGGAAATCTGATTCTGATGGGGACGAGTTCATTGGTGGAATAGGTTACATAAGAAGCCTGCAAATGTTTGAGTCAAGTTGAAGGAGATTTCAAGCTCGAAAACTGCTCTTCCGGAGCAGATTCGCTGCGTTGAGATGTTAAGGCTGGACATTTTCCGGGGCATTGCTCTCTCTGTAGATGTCGACTTGAGTCATGTTTGCGGTTGGAAGATAACGTTCAACAATTAGCAATGTTTGGCATCGGAAAATCTTAAACTGAAGCGCCGAAGGCAGCACTGCATGGTCATGTTCTGCTATAATGATAACCGGAAGATTTAAGCTAAAACCTCATTTAGAAGTGAAGAGAAATATTAGTCGGAAGTTGAATAGGTTCTAATTGAAAATCTTCCCTTCCCTTTTGTCTCTGTCATCCACTCAGAATACCTGTGAGTCTTACTCTCAAGAGAATATCCAACACCGATATGCACTGTTATTTGTTAAGCACCCCCACCCACCTAGCTCTCTCTTGCATGTTTTGATTTGGAAAGTGATTTTCATACTTCCGTTTACTTTTTCTGCACTTTTGCTCTTGTTTTTATCCGTTGATATTCTTTCGGTTTATTCAATTCAAAAGCTAAAAAAAGAAGGAAAAAAAAAAGGATGTGCACAAGAAAAAAAAGTGCGAAAATCATACCACACTAACTAGTCTACTATTATTAACCGTTTCTGCATCCTTAACCTTTTTCTTTCTAGAACCCGAAATTCATCAATCTAATCTCTCTTTTGGGGTTTATTGTCTCATTAGTGGCCAATCAATCATGCAATATATTTATCCCTCACGCAAGACCATCTATCACTGGAAAGATTTTTCAGTGTGCTTGAAACACAGTTTGATACACCAAATGTCATAATACAATTGTTCAAAGTTTTATTTTCTACAATTTCTAATCAATTATATTATGTCACTCGGTATATCAGCCCGTGTTTTCGACATAGTAAAGAACTTCTCCATCATTGAAACTTATAAAAACAAAATAAACCCTAAAATCTCCAAATTTACCCCCCTAAAACCAAAATCCCCAAAATTCATGTAACCAGCACCAATCCCACATTCATAAAAAGGGTAAAAAAAATCAGATCTCCCATAAAAACCATGCTATTCATACATGATCTAGTATATAACATTTCAAAACATGGGTTCTCAAATATACAATCATACCCAAAATACCCCCAACACAATCCAACATCACCAGATTTGAATGAAAGCACTTCTAGTTCCATTTCTCTCCCAACTAGGGTTCCACATCCTGTAATTACAGCGAATTCTGATGTCAATTACCTCTTGCACATCCCGTGATGACCTCGCACCCTCTGTTGTACGGATTGGCCGCCACAGCGTGACAGTTGTAGTAGGAAGCCCCTGGTGTTCCACATGGAACCGAGTCCCTCTTGAGAGTCCCGTAGCTTATGTACTTCGTCTGCATTGCCAGAATCCTCCTGCTGCTCTCTGACTCCATCTCCGGCTCTGTCATGCACTCCCCAAGCTTCTCGCTGCAGCCACTTCTTCCCGCCATGGCAGCCTCGATTCCGCTCCCTTTGAGTGAAACCCCATTGCAGATTGGGAAGTGGGTGTGGATTAAAAGGAGGGATACGTAGAAAATTAGAGTGGGTTTGGGCATTTTTTCTTTCTTTTTCCTTTTTGCTTTGTGGGTTCTTTGTTTTTGTGGAGGGTCGTTGGACTGTGGAAGGAAAGGAAAGGAAAGTGATATTCTTAGTGGTTGGAGGGTTCATTAAATGGGCTATGAGACATGATCATTGTTTTAGCATAGACATGTCATGTGGGACGAAGCAATTAATGGCGATTCAATATCTTGTGAACCCACTTTATTAATCTGTTGGGTATCGCATTTAAATTCTTTCATTGATCAAGCAAAAATGATCCGATCACATATACCAGTTGCAAATGGGAAAACAAAGATAGATGTGCCTAACAGATGTCAAACCATTGTCCTAGAACCAGAAGGACAGGACACCATTAACGTTCATCGGACAACCCTCGAAAGTAGGTTTGCCGCACCTAGTGGTCAGTCACATTCGATGGCGGCTAGTCAATCATCTGCTCCTACTCATAAGTGTGGCAGACCTGTTAGTTCAAATGATTCACAATTGTGGAAAAGGAAACCAACGGCACAAACTAGGAAACTAGTGTAGATCCGATTATCGCTTACTCATCCTAACTTACACATGAGGTTACTCTAAGTTATAGTAGCGCCCTTGAATTTGAGTTTGGACCCAAAATTGACATGGCTGGGGTCGTAACTGGACAGCCTTGGCAACCCGAAAATGAGTGGAAGGGTTGGGTTTTTTGGTTTGGAATTGGGTCTAGCCTTAACAATTAAGGATGGGTGGAACCGTGGAAGATCGTCCAAAATCTTGCGATTATTTGTATGAAGAATAAATCAATTGTTACTTTTAATCCACTGTGAACACTTTTGACAGGCTCACTTGTTCATTCGAATAATTGACATGTCTTCTGCATTAAAAGATGGAGTGTCGAAGATGGCTATCAAACAACAAACTAAAAACGAAATGAGTATCAAACAGGCCTTATAATACATTCTCTTTTTGTTATCGGAAAGACAATATTTCATTAAGCCCGGCTAAACCGGATTACAATCATGAAAACGAAGGTCTCCAACGTAACCAGAGGCTCCTCAAACCAAACCATATCAAGTAACAAGAAATCTGCATAACTATCATATTACGACGATTCGAAGCCGGCTATTAACATAAATATAGTTGCTACAGTATTGTATATTGACCATTTATGAAAACACACCAAATATTGAACCAAATTGAGGAAAACTTGAGCAATGCGGAAAAAAAGGTACTAAATGAGCATACCCAAAAAAGCAGATTAGATTTCACACAATCTCAATACATCTCTACACATCCGGAAACCAAATTAAATCTAAAGAGCGGGCGATGACAGAATAAGGGGCCAAGCGCATGGTGTTTACGAGAATGTAAACTAGTTGTCAACATAACTGCTTGAACAATCGATGTATTCTGATTGTTGGAATGTAGAACAGAGACCTGTAAAATAAAAATGAAAACAATGATATAACTTATAGACTAAAAGATCGGCTTTTAGCATATCCTCAAATTGTTTTGATAGAAGCAGTCAAAAATTGATTCAGTATGAACTAACAGATCATCACAAAACGCCAAGTTTCAGGTTGAGATCGATATTTTGTTTTTCCATGCGGTCACTTAATGTGCACAAAAATTTAGCACGGGAAACGGATACATCAAGGATATACACAAACAGAATCTAATGTCAGACAAATTGTGAATTGCCCAACTATTTATCAGTTAGAAATCTATAACCATGCACTAAAAGTGTGTTGTTGCAGCATATGCATCAATACCACACTGGTAACACTGACACAGCTTTATCAGAATACGCTAACATGACAATGAACAGTAGCCAGTGATGACTAAGAACTAATTGCATATTGGCATGAACTTATCCAACCAATAACAGGCAATGTCATGTCAAGTTTCAGATCTTATATAATGTGAATCTTACAAATCAAGGGAGATGGGAGAGAGCTTTGTCGTGAACCTGGATCAGGGCTTCACCACGACTGCAGTACTTAAAGAGTGAGTGTTTCCGCATCCTTGACTGTTCTGGACATTCCATGGCCGAACCTTCCATCATCTTGCTCATCATATGGATTTCCCCTATAATTAGAACTCGCTTCTTCATTCTCTGAACAGCCAGGTCTTTCAGTTAGGAACTGTTCCCAGAAAACATCGTTTACTCTAACAGGAACCAGAGCAGGCGCTTGATTGTTATGTGTGGCTTCTTGGGAGGAAGTTTTAGGTTTGTCATCATCAGCTAGATTTTTGTTTGTAAAGGCTCTTAAATCTGGTTCTTTGCCCTTGTCATTTAGCTCTGATGCTGCAGATTTGTTGATATCCTGACCTACTTGGGGTACTGCAGCTGAGTAAGGACTATTATTGACTTGCGATGGAGTAGATGCAAGAGTGAGATTTAACTGGCAGGATATATTACCATCACCTTCTTCATTAGAAGGCAAACCTGGCTGCAAGGAATGACGTATAGGGCTTCCAACAGTTGGTGCCTTCCGCGATAACAACGAATCCATTTTGAATGCAAAAGATGTTCCGGTATCTGAAAGTTCTAAGGTTTCAGGTGCAAATAAAAGCCCTTCTGTTCTCATCTGTGCTCCTTTAAGTTCTTCAGATATTTTCCTAGTTGAGCTACCCCCATCTTCATTGGAACTCTGCGTGCTAAGCGAAACCAAGTTCATGTCTGAAACAGCTGGTGATAATTCTAGTCTAAGTTTACTTGAGAAGTCTTGGTGGAAAACATTTCCAAACTCAGATATGGAACTACTTTGGTTATCCACAAAACCATTCTCCACGACTGGCTGTAGGTTTTCAATGTCAGGCAATCGCCTTTTCTTATTATATGCTGAGAAATCCATAGATTCAAATTTTCTAGAGAGGTGTTCAATAAAATTAGGGTTGTGAACAGCCTCATCTAAGAATGTCAGCAAATTCTTCTGCCGTTGTTCCATACCACTCACCCGCTGTGCTAAGTTTTCCAACTGAAGCTTTGCAGCAGATCGCTGCTGTTTGAATGTTGAAATACTTGCCTCAAGTGCAGCTTTATCATTTGAAAGCTTCTCTATCTCGTCATCAAGAGCTGCTCTTTCAGGATCAACCATAGAACCTTGAGGATTGCTGTGGCTGTGAATGGGTTTTCTGCGGTGGATATGCTTAAGAAGATGCTTCTGATCTTGTATGAAGTCTTCATTAGCAAATTCCCATCTCTCAGGATCACTCTTTCGAAATCCCTGTGACAAATTCATGTCCAAACATACTCAGTTAAATTATATCGACAGTCACTTCCGACAATATAAAAAAGATGATTACCTAGAGATGATACATTAATTATTGTACAATGTATCTGAAAGAGGATGAGTGCCAGAAACACTGAAATTCATGCATTCGAAAATACAACCAAGGAAGGACCTATGGTTTAATTATTGTACAATGTATCTGAAAGTCAGTTCACGATAGTCACTCCCTGTAACCTCTTGTTGCTTGAAAACCTCAATAGGCAGCCGAAGCACATCTGGTATATGTATCACTAAATATGTACTAAAGGTTTTATAGTCCGGACTGCAAAGCAATGTATTGTTCTAAAAGGGGAACAAAAGAAAGGAGAGAGGTGCCAAAGAATTTTGATAACAGTTTCATTGATCAAGAATTTAGAAATATACATTGGGCTTTTTGGATGCACTCCCACGTAATCGAAACTACAGACCTAAAGTAGGAAATCTTAATGAAACACTTCTGGTACTATTCACTTTAAAAGTCATTCATATACTATTCACTTACACCTTTATTTTGTCATTTTGATTAAAATTAAAGTTTTTGAGGATTTTTCGTTAGTTTTCCTCCTAAAGTATCCCTCTTTTTTTCCTAATTTTTGATGACGAACAAATGTTCTGGAAGCAACAGAAAATACAAATTAAATCCACAATCAACCACCATTTTCAAGTCTGCACATTTAGAGGAAAACATCATCTCCCTAAAATTGGAGCAACCGAAAAGCCCTGCAATTTCCTAAAAATGCTAATACTTGGAAACAGGGAAGTGAAAACTAGCAATAATCCAAACAAAGAAGAGACTAAATCTCCAATCACCCAAACACAGAATTACAAAACACGAAAATTCTCCGAGCAGCATCCAAACAGAAGCAAATTGGGGGCAAAATGTACAATGCTTTCAACATTTTCAAGAATTCAACAATTCACCGAAATCAAAATCTTAAGAGGCAAAGTGCTTACGTATGTATTGAGTTGACGAATGAAGCTGGAGAAGTTGTTGTGCTTGAAATAGGTGGGGAGCAGAACCCGGGCGAACTCGGGCGGGTTCCAGACGACGAAGCTCTTCTTGTTCGAGCTCCACGACACGATCTCGTCCGTCGCGGAATCGTCCACCATGTTGTACGTCTTCAGCAGAAACGGCGCCGGGCCACCGCCTCCACCGGCAGTCGAGCCTCCTTCCATGATGGAGAGTCGGGTCAGGGTTTGGGCGGACTGGATTGGAATCGATTTTGGGATCCGATTGGAACGTTCGAGAGAAATGGAACAAATTTGACGACAGACTGGAGAGGAGAGAGAGAGAGAGGGAGAGAGGGAGAGAGAGAGAGAGAGAGAGAGGACGTCCGAGTCGAGACGCCGCCGGTTGACAGAATTGACTTGAATGCGCATGTCTGTCGCCACGTCATCATTCAAATACAGAACAATACAGCTTTTCTGAATTGGTCATAAATAAAAATACGGTCCACTAGCGTGTAACTTTATTTTAATACGGGCACACCAAATCCGATAATTTCTTGCCTTCTTAAATAACGAAAAACTCATCACTAGATAAGGTAACGTTACCAAAAAAATCTTGCGATCGCCTTAAAACCCAGCATAAGGTCACCAGCTACAATTGTTGTATCAGAGTGAAATGACCGATCTACTCATACTCTAGCACATCGATATAATCGAGGCTGCTCTTTCTCAGTTGTTTATAAATGAAATCAAAGTCCTTCAAGCTAAAGACCTTCCAGATTCAATTTCTAGAACTAGTTTTCCAACAGTTACTTGTTGGGTGTTGACATTTAAAGCTAAGGACCTTCCAGATTCAATTTCTAGAACTGGTTTTCCAACAATTTCTAGAACTAGTCCTTCAAGCTAAAGACCTTCCAGATTCAATTTCTAGAACTATATTTCTCTTAGACCCACCAGCCTAACGTAAACATCTAATTACACATATACCGTCCAGCCCAAACAAATTTTTTAGTTCATCTCTCTCTCTCTCTCTCTCTCTCTCTCTCTCTCTCTCTCTCTCTCTCTCTCTCTCTCTCTCTCGTGTTTGTGAGAGACTCCAGAGTCTAAATATCATAGAAAAGATATGAGATTCTACTGAAAATTTTGAAAAATCACTTTTCTAATGAAGTTACATTTCAAAGTCCAACCCACCCGGCCACTTAGTACTAGTGGTATTCTTTTTTACTTGTAAGTGTAAGGTTTTAGGTTCGAATCTCGTAGATAGCTACAAAAAAAAAAAAAAAAAAAAGTCTAGCCTGCTCGAGTTTTGAATCCTGTAAGAATTTTCCTTTGCTTTGTAAATGTTTCTGTCACATGAAAATGATTGAATGATTACAATTTAAATTGTTAATTTTTTGTTGTTGATCATCTTCAAATATAATAGCAATTTACTGCTAGAGGAGTGAAGGGAAGATGTAGTAGTAGAAAACATGGGTGTTATAATTTTAGTTTTGTTTTTAATTAAATTAATTTTTTTAGTACAAGTGATTATTTGTTTGTTTTATTAATTTATGACATAGATTTCCAATATACGAACAAATGATTCAAATACAACTACCGCTGACAAATAAGCGCTTGTTTACTTAACAGTTATGTGAATAAAAAGAAAGTGAACGAGTTTAACTCATGACTTCCTCCGCTTTTACTTGCACACGTAAGAAATTAAATCTGTAATAAGATGTCTTTAAAGTCCATGTTTACAACAAAAGCAGTCGAACCCTTAACTTATTCTAATCCTAACCTATTTTTCCGCCCATCCTATACCAATTCTTTTGGCTACTCTATCTTGTTAAGCATATCATGATATGCTTGCTTCAGTTGGAGTCATGGTCTCTTGTATTATAACTCCGCTTCCAAAATTAGAAATATAACAAACTGGAAGTATGTTTTAATTAAGGTATTTATACACAAGTTTATGAAAGGGACTTGCTTACAAGAAAAGGCTATGGCAGTAGCAGTACCACTAGATAGTTGACCTGACGATTTGGTGCAATCCAGGTAGTTTTCTTCTGAAAGATTAAAACCGTTTTAGACCATTTCCCGTTTCGTGGGTTGGATGAGATATGTTGTGATAAATTAAAATGAACTTGAGTCCAGTTCGTTGTTTGTTGTGTCAAAATGTGAGATAGATAGGATTAGACATGATGAGTTATGAATCCATAATAGAGTGGGTTATCTAACATATCCTTATACATGAGTTACAAGTCATGTCTTACAAGTCTCTATCAATTTAATCTTATCCCTAAGATCCAATCTCATCCAGCCAACCAAACGGTGCATTTGGATGAGGAGTTTTGAAGTGTCATGAGACTCAGGTTGAATTGTTAAGAATGCACTAAAAAGTAGTATGTTTATTGGTATTGTATTTGTAATGCTTTTAACAATTGCATCTAAAAATACCTTGAGATTAGTTTCTCGTCTAAATATAGGGGTGTGATATCCACACACTATTCTAATTTTTAACCGTTGGATTTGATGAATTAAAGAAGATCAAATAATATAAATTAACAAGGGGTGTGTGGATAACATACTCCTAAATATAATGTATCTCTTTGCTTTTGAGAAAATCAAATATTTTTTTACTCGATCAACAGAAAGAATTCTAACTTGGAGTCTTTTTGGTCTTATTTGGTATAGAAAATTGAACTGATGAGGTTAAATCTCTAAGTTCAAGACATACTGAAGGTAGACGAGAACGATTTTTCATTTTGAAGGGATTAGACATGAAGGAAACTTCTTTCTTCTAATTTCATCATTTTGGGGAGGATTAGGATGGTTGGAAACTTATTCCTTCAGTAATCCATTTCCTACCTTCAAGTGGGTCAAAATTATAATTTTCATCCTTCAACATACTGTAAAAATTCTACATGATCTATTCCAATCTAACCCTCGACACCAAACGATGTCTTTAAGAAAAGAAATCCCGCTAGACGAAAAGTTGTTATACTGCTAATAACCTACTATACAATATTTTATTGTACAAGTGTACAAAAAATGAGTCAAATTACGGCAAGAAAATAGATTGAAAGCAGTATACAATCAAAGAAAAAAGTTGAGAGGATTTAGAGGGAGTTTAGGTGAGAATTAAGTTGGCACATCATTAATTAACATCGACTACAATACTGCTTGAACTACTGTGTGTTAGTTATACCTTAATCAGGATTATAAAAATAAAAATAAAAATAAAACGAATTTGGAATTAGGTTAATAGTGAATGTAACGTAGGTTCGAAGCCATAAGGTTATAAACCAAACCCTCTTCTCACATTTTCATCTTCTTCTTTGAGAGTTGAGTGAGTCAGTAACCAGATATATTCAATGGTGGTGGGGATCAATGGCCAGAAAGGTATCCCAAGAAGTCTGGGTTGGCATAATAGTCTCTTTTTATATTTTATGCATTTCTTTCTTTTGCTTAATGTATTCAACTTCATTGGGAGCCAACAATGTGTTCAATCTTTCGGTGAATAAACAAGTTCACCTCAATCACACCGATGACGATTCATGCTTGAATTGTTACATTTACTTCCATGACGGTCTTCCTGCAAGATTCAACTATGACTTCCTCAACAATTGTGAGTCTCTTAGTCGAGGTACTAGTAGTAGCAACAAACCGAGTATGTGTCCACACCTCGTAATTTTGGGGCTTGGTCCGGATGTTAGCAACCCGGAAGGGGTTGTGTCCAACAAAAGTTGGTATAAAACAAATCCCTACTTGTTAGAAGTCATATTCCACAACAGGATGAAGAAGTATGAGTGTTTGACAAGCAACTCCACTCTTGCTTCAGCCATTTGTGTGCCATTCTATCCTAGCATGGATGTTGGTGTCCATCTGTGGGATTCTAACGTCGAAATCAGAGATGCTTAAGCCAAGGATTTTGTCAAATGGATTTTGGGACAACCCGAATGGAGGAAAATGTGGGGGAGAGACCATTTCTTTGCTTCTGGGAGGACTGCTTGGGATTTCAGGAGGCAAAGGGATGATAGTTCTGATTGGGGAAGTAAACTCAGGTTCTTGCCCGAGTCCCTGAACATGACTATGTTAACAGTAGAAGGAAGCGAATGGAAAAACAACATGGCAATTCCGTACCCGATTAACTTTCATCCTACAAAGGACAGTGAGGTGGTTGCATGGCAAAACAAGGTGAGGAAACAAGAAAGGCCTTATTTGTTTACTTTCGCAGGTGCACCGAGGCCTAACTTGGAAGGTTCTATCCGTGGAAAACTTATCGAACATTGCCAAGCTTCAAATAACTGCAATTTTTTACACTGCACAGAAAAGATTTGTGGCAATCCGATTACAGTTATGAGGGCGTTTCAGAGCTCAGTTTACTACTTGCAGCCAGTCGGGGACTCATTCACTAGGAGATCAGCTTTTGACTCGTTTCGGGCTGGTTGCATTCCAGTTTTCTTTCATCCAGCTACCGCGTACACTCAATATTTATGGTACTTACCAAAGGATCATACCAAATATTCAGTGTTTATTCCCGCGAAGGATGGAAAAATTTGAAAGAAGGCAGAATTGAGAATATCTTGCTTGGAATTTCGAAGGAAAAGGGGGCGGCCATGAGAGAGGAGGTCATAAGGCTAATACCAAAACTGGTATATGCAGATCCCAGGGGAAGATTAAAGATTCCCGATGCATTTGATATAGCTGTGCACGGAATGCTTGACAGAATAGAGAACGTTAGAAAGGTGATGAATGAGGGAGGGATCCAAGTGCTGACTTTGCTGGTCTTGAGAATGATATTCAAATTTCCTGATAGTATAGACTAAAAAACTTGGAGTAATTTATAGTGCATGTAAAATATGTTGAAAGCCATTACTTGTACTTCCTCCTTTTTGTTCTATTCAATTTAGGTTTCAAAACTCAATTAATAAATAAGGAGGTAAACTGAATATTAGAGAATTTTTCTTATGTATTATTCTTCTCTAAAATGTGATCAACAAGGGGTAGATATTGTTCCTTAATGGCTAACCACACTTATTACGTATGCAATGTCTAATCAAAATGCATGCCAAATATACAGGCATTCCAACAAGGAGCGGATACTGTTGATCAACATGATCACACAGCTAGACATTAATCACCAGAGGTGTGTCAATTGGTTTACGGACAGAACTTGGCTGTTGAAAAATCAGCAGCAGCTCCTGCTGCTAGCTAATTATAGATGGACATGTGTCTAATTTGTGATTAAAAAATCAATTACTTGAACATATGTCCATCTGTGATTGGCCAACAGTAGGAGCTGCTACTGATTTTT